AACATTACTCAAAATTCACCATTTTAAATGAGCAAAATACAAAAGAAGTAGCGTAGGAAATTGCAAGCGACGATATTGCTATTTACGAAAAATGAGTTTTAATTAAAACCGGGTTTTCACAATACGAGTGCTCTCCAACCGAGTACTCTCGCACAAGCTAAATTGTATTAAGAGTCCCCTCGGATTTTACTATTTTCCACCCAGTTAATCACGTCTTAAAATCCATTTTCCGGTCGTATCTGCTACAAATCCTATATGATACAGCAGATCAGTCTTCATCATCTTGAAGACTGATCCGCTGCTGCTATTCATAATATCCATAATATTAACCTTAGAGCTACCTAACCAAGGTAAACGACTCTTATAAGGGAAACGGTATACGTTTTTACAATAAGATTACGGATTATATCAAGGTTATCACTTCCTAAGTTTAAAAAATACATTAAAGATATTTTGATTTAAAAGTCATATTACAAAATTGAAGACTAAGTGTTAGATAAAGATATATGGAAAGACGACATGGCTCTAGGTCCCACACAAGTTTTATTCAAAGTGCCATAGCTCATAGATCCATAGCTTTTAAGTTTATTTGAAAAGAGCCAATCATAGTGAACGAACAGTAGCTTAAAACTGATATTTTCAGGTGTAAAATTATTCTACCTATGTAATAAATTATTATTTGCCTTTGACTTGATTGTGCAAGGAGACAAATGCTACTTGAACTCTGATGAACTTGTAAGTGGTAAACCGAAATCTAAATGGACTCCTATGCAATCTATTCCGCTGTATGAGCGCACTCAGTCCGAGAGCACTCGTATAGTGAAAACCCGTTCGGGTGCTAACAAAGAGTGAGCAAGACCAAAGGAAATGTACTTACTATTTATTAAAACCAATAAAGTAAAGATATTAAACGAACACAGAAAACAATGACAAGCATGATAAAGGCGCCAAAAACAAGAACATTTGAATATAGACTTTCAATTCAAAATTAAACTGATAGAAAGACAACAAATATATGAGCAAACGGATTTGTAGCGACTGCTGCGATTCGCTACAATATATCGCACTACTATTACAATAGTGTTATAACTCAAAAAAGTGAAGTTCAAGATTATACCATTTTCAAACGTAAAATTCGTTTCTCTACATGTCAATAAAATTGTCATTAGAATATTATAAGAAACCATTAAAATATATCTACTTAACCCAGAATGAAGCAAACGTTTTGTGAGCTAGTTCAAGACAAAACAGTCCTTACTCAAAAATATGAAATTATTTTCCACTTATTTTTAAATACATATATTTGGTAAGTAGGAAATTGTTCAGATGTCTAATAAATTTTAGCCTATACATAAATTATAATAATCTTTCACGGGAACTGACTAATTCGTTTTTCAGCTATACTGAATAAATTCATATTTTGAATGAATACACTATTGTATTAACTGTGAGATATATTCTGCAAAGGAAAACTAATCCTCGTTGCGAGCCCGTAGCAGTAGCAGCCGCTACCAACTTTGGTACTGATTACTTACTGACCTCTGCATCGTTCCCTTGATAGCGTAGGCACGTGCCTTGTATACGAAAAGGTACCTTAACAAAATGCGCAGTTTTCCAACAATGTAATTTGACGCCGAGAACTATTAAATTACATTGTTGATTGTGTGCTGTGACTAATCTAATCTAGTTTAGCGATTTCACAACGTTATTACCTATATGATAATTATTATTTATCTGCATGAACGAGGTTATATTCACTTTGTGTGGAAACCGAATATTCGATTGTTTACGTCCACAGTTCGTATTAATTGAGTACATTATTTTTCATTTAAAATTAGTAAAATAGCGTTTTCCCAAGTCGAGTGAGTTATCAGATTGAAACCATTTAATATAACAGGTCATTAAACCCCAAAATTTTCAAATTTTGTTAATATTTTCTATGATGTTGAGAATACAAAGTGTCAACAATTTTTTACTAAAGGATCGAAATTACCATTCTCAGAACAAATTTTGCCATTATCATAGAATCAACTAATGTTTCTGATTCCAACGGTATACATAACTCAATATGACCCTAAAGTGTCACTCATGCCATTTTGCCTTCCATGCGTCGATTATCAACATATTGAATAGGTTATCTTTGTGTACAAGAAATAATATCAAAGACTGCAAAGGTAAAGTAAGGTCACTCCACCCGACTGCGAGCTTCTGACGCAAGAGCGATAAACGTTTGATCGAATCGACAATTCAACCTGTCATGGTGGGTTCAAATCCGTTTTCTTAGAACTAATATTTATTCGCGACAGATTAATTGATGTAATATGAATTGAGGCGAAAAATTACGACTGTTTTTAAATTTTACTATTTTAATCCTTAAAATAATATAATATACGTTATCCAATACATTACTTAAAGGTTTCATTCGTGCTTGGAGTTGGAATGTCTATTTGATTAGTGAACAATAAATTCAAATCTTTATGGTAAATATATAAAAAAAAAAAGTTTGTGCAGTTTCAAGCTTCAGTTGAATAGTTACAGTTTTGGTCCCTCGACAGGCTAAGTGTCGTATTTATACGTATTTGAATTAGCTTAATCCGTATAAATTTCGCGGATTCGGTACGACCGCCAGCGTCCTGCATTATGCAGGGGATTGAAATGCGCCAACTTTGTCCATTCAAAGTAGGCAGCTTTACATAGTCTGGGCAAACAAACTAGTCGAAAATATTTTTTACAGACAAATGGTAAATTTTGTATAAGTAACGCAGGTATCTTGTTTGAAGAATACTTCAAATCCAATTTCGCCTAAGTGTCATTGGCGGTAGACGAAATCATCGCGGTCTTTAGATCGTAAAACAATATTGTAATCTTCAAGCGAGGTTTCCTTGAAAACAATTAAGGGGGCCACGAAGGAAAACCTTTTCATTGAATTTTACAGTATAGAAGGGTGTATTGAAATAAAAGAATTTTAAGTGAAAAGTAAATGTTATAATTCAGAAAAATAACGTAATTGATTAAACATATTTCATAATAGCACAGTCATCAGGACGCGGACCTATACACTTAAAATGTCATTCCAACTTTAGCCATTTATGACAATAACGGTCCAAAACTTCAAAATATAAAGCCCCGCGTTCTGTGAACCTTACATTTTGCTTTCTTATAATAGTAATAATAAAAATAACATTTGTTATACAGGCAAAATCTTTCGAAAACCAAATATTTGGCAAAACTTACAGGTGCTTTAATCGCAAGCATTATTACAGGTATTGCACAACTAAGTATTATTGACAATGGTGAGGCTGAACAATGACTACTGAAGCTGTGGCATGTGAAACAGGTGTCTGCCTGCTACGCAGATGCAACTGGACGGGACGACTAAAGCGTGTATTGATGATTCACTTGTGCAATTGGTCAATTATTTTAATTTAGCAATATTAAAAAACTATTTTTTTACTGCGCTCCAGTATGTAAATGTAAGAGCCTATGTACACAACTTATTTTTTACGCGCGGACGACGCGGAAATGTCGCAGTCAATAAACTTTTGCATACGTCTTAATTGAGCCTCTACGTCATGGGCTTAGGGTGCGTACAGATCTGGGGGAATGCGCTGCAAATGAGTCTGTTTACGAAAGGCTCTTGAGCTGAACATTGTTGTGCGATCTATTTGCGCGCCGCTCGCGCTACATATATCAATCAACATGTATTTACCTGCACGCATGTATAACGTGACCATACGTCGCGCGGATAGTCCCGCTTTTAGGCTTCGTGTTCCGATGTCCCCAAAATATTAAAAAGTGTCCCGCTTTCACAAAACAGAACACAAATAACAATAAATTTTGAAAAATCGCGTGAAATCGCGTGAAAATATAATTCAAGCCAGCCAACCAAACATCGATCACAAGATTACACAAGATTAGATCTTTTTTAAAATAGTTGATTTATTAATCGATTTTAGTTCTTTTTATTTCTTTTTTATTCATCAAACATTTCGTATTTATATAAATATGTGTTTTATTCTTAAAACAATAATAAATTTACAGGCGTCCCGTTCTGAGGGGAAAAAATAATAGTCACGTTACGAATGCAGCACGTTCGCTATACGCTGTAGCGATTTTACACATATTATTTATGGATGCGGCGTCTAGTCTCAGTCAGTTTCTTCTAATTTCTTTTTCTCAAGGTTTTCTGAAAATTTTATTTTTTATTTAACCTAAATTATTAATTCAGAAATAATGAAGTTAGGTAGATATTAACAAATCATTTACTAATTACTATATCATACTCAAAGTTACTATAACAATCAATTACCTATTTTCATTATTGTTGTACACAAAAGTCGTCGGGCTTTGTGAAACGTGTTCTCTTAAACGACTAGTTAGACTCACCCATCAAACAGTGACTAAGAATTCGTACTTACAATTTTATTAACCTAGAGTGACTGGTAGTTTAATCATATATGTTTTATAACCAAAATTGTGCAAACGAGGCATAAATATCAACTCATACAAAATGGACATGAATAGTAATGGATATGTAATGGGTATTTAAAAACATATGTTAATATGGAGAATGACAAGCGTGAATAATATTTAAAAATTTTAAAAATCTCAACGTTATCAATATATCACATGCTTAATTGACATAGGCGCAGAGTCGAAGCGTTGCGTCGCGTCCTGTTTTTCAAGTACAACGCATAACGACGCGCGTCGTCGCGGATGTTGCACGCATTAGCGTGCCTGGGTCACACTGTGGTTGGTTGGCGTCAATCGCGTCACGCGCCGACACACGTTTCCTTATATGCATAACACAAATTTGTACCTTCATGATGGGAAAATAGAGATGAATATGCTATAGGCGAAAAACATGACGCTTCGCGACGCTTCGACTCTGCGCCAGTATGCATTGAGTCTAAGGGTCGTATTCTAGAACTCTACTCAATGCTTAAGTCAGGACTTGAGTATGATTCAAAGCACTAGAAATCATACTCAAGTCCCTGCCTTTAGGGTTGTATTTCCAGTGCTTGTGTTTCCAGTGCAATCCTGACTTGAGCATTGAGTAGAGTTCTAGAATACGACTCTGAGACGTTCACAGTTCGTGACTCGACTTGAAATCGCAAATGCGCTTCAAGCGTGTATATTGGAGTCGTGACTATGTCCGTGATGTACTTCTTCAATGTTAAATATTTTAATAAGACTCGTAGATTAAAGCCTTGGTTTATTTAAACTTAGTCTTGTGTAATCTTTTAGAGGTGTAACTTTTCAAAAACAACAAAGAAGTTTGGATAATATTGTAAATAATGTGAGAGTAAAACACTTAACCAACCTATTTCACACAAATTCCGGTGGACTTACGCGGATGCTTTCGACCTTTATATGGGGAACTACGGATTTGCTCGATTTTTGACGATAGTTACTGTCACCTGTTAGTGTAAAGTAAAATTTGTAGACATTTACGTTTAAGGCTCAATCTACATTGCCGCGGAATGGAATGGAAGCGTATTTTTACAACCACAGCATAATTAACTTTATGACAATTGTGTAACATACAAACCAGATACAAGCCAAAAAACAGGAGCCTTCCGGGGAATTCTCGCACAAACGCGGGAATTTTAATGGCTACAACATCGTACCTAATTTGTACGTTACACGTGGTAATGTAAATTCGACAAAAAATACGTTGTCGAACGTCAAAAAGTCGAGCTAATGTATAGGCACCTTTAAGTTCGCAATTAGGTACAATTGAGCGTGGCTGTATTGTGTAAAGGTTTTTGATTAAATTGAAGACTGAACAGGAACTTTGTGCTAACTATTCTTACTCTTATGACGTTGGCTTATGCATACATCCCGACTTGCCACACATACATAAATAACCGTAGGAATAAAAGTCATCAATAAGGGTTTTAATCAAGCACTTGTAACTCTTAAGTGCCATGGCCTTCTCCTCTGCTGTGTTCCAAACACGCATACTTCTAACATGACCGTCTTCCTGAAGGCCACTCGCCAGCCACAAAGCTGTATTAGCAATAATAAAACACGCTGGACCTACAACTTGCAAATCCGAATAGAGCGATGTTTGTGGGTATAATTTGTTAGGATCTAATTTTGCCTCAATTAAAGAACTACTAAACTTATCGTAGTATATATCCAACATGTGCCGAAAATGTGTCTTTCTTAACGCAGTATCTGTGCTACTGGCGATGAGGTACAGCACGTCGAAAGCAGGACAGGCGACGCAAGCGTTCTGATAGTCGATGAGGCACGCCGATGTTGGAACATTATCCTGAAATAATAAAAAAAAAATTTCATACAAAAATTTCTAAGTACATAAAAAAAAACAAAAAATAACATGAATATGTACAAAATTTGCTTCTCTATCTCATTATGGTCATCTTCATCAACTCATATACGACTTATTACTGGGCACGGGTTAGAGAAAACGTTTAGGTCGATGATTCCCAAAATGGTCTACATCCAACAAAGATCGCATGTCAGCGAAAAAAAAAGGACTTGCATGAGACGTTAATGGGGGGTCAACGCGCAAGGAACCCATTTAGGCAGGTTGTTACCAAAATTTTGACTTTTTACTAGTGTAATCGGGTAGTCCCGATTTCGAAGACCCTGCGTGAAGTGTGAGCGCGACCCTTAGTTAGGATGCCACTCATATTAACTTATATATTTACAGATAAGTCTCCTTAGGGACCGTACCTCTTAATTCACCTCCTTAAGGTACTTGACCAATGCAAGGGTCAGTGTAGAAGAAATCCAGGCTTGTCGAGAGTTCATGGTTAGTCGTTTGAATTTGACACGTAATCTTGTGAAATTTAATGCTACCAAAACGCAGACGTGTCTATTCTCCACAAAACGGAGTCCCTTTCACCTGACTCCGACTTTTCGTGATGTATCCAAACCGAAAGCCGACCGTCTCTAGCTACTTGGAATGGACTTGTCGTCCAGTCTGAACTTCGGCAGATACATTGAATCCATGGCTAAAAATGCAGCCAGGAAGCTTGGCATCCTTTCCAAAGTGAGGCGTTACTTCACACCGGTACAGTTGCCTCAGCTGTACCAAACACAAATCCGGTCGTGTATGGAGTACTGCTGCCACTCATAGGATGGCTCTGCTAATACTAACTGGCCACCTTGGATTTAATAGATAAACGTATCAAGAGGCTTATAGGTGACTCGAAATTAGTGGAGGCGAACCTGCAGAGCCTTGAACATCGCCGTAAAGTTGCCTGCTTATCGATATTCTACAGGACATATCACGGAGAGTGTGCGATGAAATTGCATAATGTGATTGGATTTGATGCCTTCTCCTTTCCATCATCGGGGGACTAAACGTGGGCTGAGAATCCACCCCTATGTCGTGGATATTCCCAGGATCCACACGAAGCGTTTCGCTTCCACATTTATATAGCGAGCGGCTAGAGATGGGAATTCCCTGCCTACGGACTTGTTCCCCGAACGCTATAACTTGGACCTTTTCAAGGTGAGAGTGAATAGGCATTTTTTACGTGAGCATGTTACATCGTCGACTCCTCATCATCACTTTCCATCAGGTGAGATTGAGATCAAATGCGCACTTATTTTTTTATATAAAAAAAAAAGATTGTGTAAAGGGTACCTTAAATTCGGGTAGTGTAGCAAGCGTTTAATCTCCGAGCGGACGAAAGACTTTTCTTTTCTAAAAATTGACCTACCACTATATAAACTTTTTTTATAATATCAAGTGACGGGACTAACCTGCCCATAGCAGTTGCAGTGCGCTCCGAGCTTTAACTTTAGCGCCACTGCGCCTGTCACCTTAAGACGTAAGTTAAAAAATCTCATGTGCTTTTAATTTCACCACACCAAGAAAAGATAACGAAAAGCGTCGTTAATATTGGTGGTATTTTAACAACGTAAAGGTGAGATCTCAGCCCTTAAGTGTTACACTAAAAACTTGGAATACTCAAGCAGACAATGTGACATACAGCCAAGTACCTCATATTTAAATAAAATATTCTCCTTCCATAACTCCCCGTGGCAAATAATAGTGTACCGAGTCGAAGAAATTGCTCGACAAAGTTTACAATGTTTTCAATCAAGTTTTTGAACAAAGGGTCATGTGATGTGTTCTTGAAATTCTCTAAGGTTTTGCATAATGTGTGTTTCATGAGCTCAAAGTATATCTTATAGCTGTTCAGAGTTATTCTTATCACATTCCTTCATAATGAATGAACAAGCATGAAATTGGGCTGAAGACTGCAAAGAAACTTCCATATAACAGTGGTTAACAAATATACTGTTGACGAATGGTTGATAACCTTCAAAACACATATTCTATAACAGTAATGCTTATTTGCCGGCGTCCCTGCACACATAGAAGCATTAGGGTGCATTGCATGCAATCTCTTCGACAGCTTACTACACCATGAAAGATACTGTCAAATATTTTCCAAAAAAAAAAAATGGCGAGGTGCAATGTCCACAGCCTTGGCTTGGCTTTTATTAAAACTTAAGACCCTGAACGTGAATTGACTTGATTTCGTGCGTTCGTAAAATCAAAAGTAGAAAATTTTACTTACACTTACTTGACTTTCTACAAGCCATTTACCTTTACTGCAAAATAGCTCGACGCCACAAACTATTTATAAAAATCCTACACAGACGAAACTGGCTGTGACTTTGGTGATAAAATGTAAACTTTATACATACTAGTGACATGGTTCACTTTATTTTACTTAACTGTAACTTTATATTAACTGCCTCTGTGGCCGAAAGGTTACCATGCTGGACTAGCACGCAGAGGTCCCGGGCCGAGAGAAATAATTGTATGGCCTACATTTATTTCTCTCATGAGTTTGGGTGTAATTTGTGGATGTCTATGTGTGTTTCCATGGCACCCGCGATACAGGATTTCCCTAATGCGGGGCTATGAGTGTGTGCGAGTTTTGTTTATTAAGTATAGTATCAATTCATATATGTCCCACTGCTCAGCACAGATCGCCTATAACGCAAAGGTTTAGGTTGTCGTCCACCATGCTATTTAGTTACCTATACTTAATACAGAAACTAGATGACAAGCCTAATGATAACAATGCTACAGAGAATGTCGTTCAAATTGCTCAACCCTGAACAAAATATGCTAAGCCTCTGGGAGATTAATTAATACATTTTCGCTAGTCGGGGGGTGAACCCGCTAAAAGATTTAAATATTATTATGCAAAGTGAGAGCGAACAGAACAGTTCTCGTTCTACTGATTTTCTGCCACACCCCGCCCCGTCACCATTAAAGGGAAATTTCATTGAGAATTTCCCAAATGGAAAATAAAATGTGCAAAATGTAACGAGAAGAGCGGCAGGCGAAAATTGCAAACCGGGTAATTATTTTTGAGACCTCTACTCACACACATTGTTATAAGTTCACATGTTTATGAGAAAACTTTCTGAGGCTGTTTTGTTTAATAAATAGTTTACTGTATGTTTTTACAAAAAGTTACCAATGTTCATTTCACTCATCCATTATAACAAAGGTATAGTAATACAATGCACAATTTTCTAGGACACTTTATCGTGTAACTTTGCATTTGCGCATGTAACTTTTCCATTTCAATTTTGTTCTTTACTAAAACGACCCTCGCGCCATATTATAAACGTTAAGATCTCCAAACTACATTATCGTCTTTATCTCCTTGTAAATAATATACTGTAAGTTTATTAAGTCATAATTAAATGAAGTTTAAAAGTGTTTCTCACTCTTGTTTTACTTTCAAAACTTATAATCTCATGTAACTCGAGAGATATTTATTTGTTTATATGTTGGATTTTTTTGCTGATCTAAGAGGTTGACCTTGGGAATCGTTTGGTACATATAACTCATTTTTGCTAATTTTGTGGATTGGATTATTTTTGCTTAACTACGTCCAAATCGGATGAAAGATATATTCTCAACAGTCCGCTTATTAGATTAAGGTTTGTACGCGTACATTGCGCGTAAACGTGTGTCTTGTATTGGATGTATCCAACACAGCGCGCCCTCGTAGGGAATGTGTGGCCTTAAGACCATTAGACGCTTATAGAAGAGCTGTGTGGCGCGACTGTGGCGCAGCAGCCGCGCGAACGTTTTACTTCACGAATTGTGACTGCCTATAAAAGTGGCGCGCGTCTCACGACAGTGAGACAGCCCGTCTAGATATGGTATGAAAATTAGTAGTAAATTAGCCGTTCTAGCGCTTCTATAAGCGTCTAATATGAAGGCGTCCTTATAGCCACAGACATGTGTGATTATAAGGCAAATAATAACTTTCTGAAAAGGAAATATAGCATAACTGGACTCAAGTTGCGATATCCAACTCGCATTAGGTTACCCTTATGAACTCACACGTGTCAAGACAATTTTATGACCGTGTCGCGCGCGATAAAATTAGCCATATAAATGGAGTGAGAGAAACCACTCGCATTAAAAAAAAACCACAACCTTAAGTAACGTGCACACTATTAATCTAACTATTACACCACTTCTAAGTCGAAAGTTCAATTACTTATTAATTTTAGTCGCAAAATACTCGGGCCCAAACATTGACCACCATTTGGATTTAAATCCAACATCAAAGAGCCCGTTTCGGAATAACAGCTCGCAAATGAGAGAAATTGAACATCGATAAAGCCAAAGTTAAAGTCATAGGTAATAAAAAAAACTAGGAGTAGCCCTAACTGGCTAATAAAACTCAAAGATGAAGTACCGGTATGAGCATTTGGTAGAGTATGAAAAGGAGCTCGTTTCGATGTGTGCTCGGGAACGAATAGAGTTCATTTGTCGACTCCTGGCTGGTTCCTCGAATAAGCCCTCCCTTTATTGGGGTCATTTGTATCTGGATTTATTTTAGTTCCATCCTTCGCAATGGAGCAAGGGCAGATATATTACCGGATTATATCATTGATTGCTTTCCTCTGATACAAACATTTGACCGTATATATTTTAATAATGTTTTACTGAGCTCTAGACCTACGATTTACCCCTTCATTGTAAGAAATTTACCTTCTGTTTCATTAAGTGTAATTTCTAAGAATTTCGGAATTACTTTCAGAAATGTAAAAACATAAGATACTTGTAAACAGTTTTACCTTATATTTGAATAAAATATTCTCCTTCCACAAATCTCCATGGCATATACAGGTGCGGTCAGTTTTTGAAAAATCCTCGATGAAAATTGCACAGTTTTTCTTCAAGTTCTCCAATACAGGTACGTACTTTGTAGCCTCAAATTTCAGCAGGGCCTTATCTAACCTATCTTGCAAAACCTGCAAAAATCTCCCATGCGTTTCTCGACTTACGGGCTGACAAACTTTTATTGCTTCATCGTAAGTGCTCTTTTCAAGTTCCTTCATAATGAATGAATACGCATGAAATTGGGCTAAGGACTCCAATGCAACTACCATGTGGTCGTAATCGACAAACATGCTGTTAAGGAACGGTTGGTAACCCTCGAATCTCATGTCTCGCATCACCAATACTTCTCTTCCGGGGTCTCTGCACACGTAGTAGCATTTAGGGGCAATGTACTCGGTTAGCGTATATTTTTGATACAACTTGTGATACTGTGATAGCACAACAGAGTACATAAAAGTTTCACGTGCGAACATTACAGCTAATGCCCCACTTACACGAAACCGCTCATCTATTGGAGCCAATTTCAATACCAACGGAATACTAATCTCCGCCTCATTCGCTCCACTAGTTATTACTACCGGAATGAGAACACCGAAGTAATTTTGCGCCTTAGCCTCGAAATCCCGCCTTGCATAAGTCCAATTTGTAATATTCCAAGCAGAAGCTACATTGCTGACTACGGAAAAAATATAGTCTTCACTAAAACTAGACATAACGGCAGATAACCAAAGCACGATACATAGATATAATTGCAGGTAAACTTAATAAATACGTACAACAACATAACCTCAAAACAAATAACATTTTCTATTCGCTTAACAACGAATACGCGAAGACACGCACAGCATACAGCCAGGTCTTGTGTAATCGTTCCTTGGTTTTATTTGCCCCAGATAATTTCCTTTTGTCTTAAAACACTCACTTAAAATTGAAACTAAGACGTTACGAGAAGTTGTAAATTAACATTTATTACATCACATTATAACTAATGTCAATACTACTGTAATCGGACACTTGCTCTTTGCAATGACGTACTTTTATGTGCTGCGATAATATTTATTCTGCAGTTATTCTTTAGTTACAACGCAAAGTATTATTACAAAGTAATAAAAATCTAAACAGTCTTTAAACATACCTACTTAATATAGAACACGTAAAGGACGTCAAGAGACCGCTCAAATGAATTACGTCAAAGATGATCAAGATCACTGAACTCAGTCCGGAAAACCTCAAACAGAACATACCTAATGTCGAAAACTATGCCTTAAACAAAGTAATTTAAATAGCTGCTGCTACCTATCTAATACGTTAATTAACAATGCAAATCTCTAAAATTTCATTTACGTAAATATGCGCCAAATAATATTAAAAAAAAATCAATAAAAAAATCTGGCAAATAGACGAATTGATTTGGGTTACTACTTACTCAATTCCCAACATTGAACATGTCTAATGAACTTTTTGATCAAATCTGCAGCAGCTATTTAAAAAAGCAACAGATAGTGTGGTGGTGTTTCTTAGTACTTTCATAATAACCTACGCTACGCCATTGAAGAACTATGTGATAATGTTTGTCATTACCTATGCATACCAACTTTATCTCTGACAACGGTGCTATTTACAAACCTGAAAGAATAAACAATGACAATTCTACGAAACTCTTTCACAACGTTACTCAAACAACAACACATTACGGTAATAGGATAATCAATTAGATAGTCAAAACTACAGTCACAAACTCCTTACAATTTTTAAAACTATCTCCAATCTCAACAGTTGAGGTCAGTAAAACAATCGCCAATCTTAACCCCAACACGAACACTAGATTGGATGGTATCAGATGTAAAGTAATTAAATGCGTAATAAAATTTAATTAAATTAAAATGATATCATCCTATTTTATGATATCAAGCGACAGAACGAACAAGTCATTCGCCTGGTTGTAAGTGACACGCCTATACATAACAGTTGCAATCAAAGTTTTAAATCGCAAAGATCTGAGAGCACTGCCACTGCGCCCGTCACCCTGAGACATAAGTTTCACCAGCACCTTCAAAACCGGAACGCAGTAAAACTCACATTACTGCTTGGCGGCACAAACAAGTAAGGTGCCAGTACTTCCCTGGACGAACTCTTTCACGTGGAGCTCTGGTGCTACTAAAAACCACAGGCAACAATATTGTTTAGAAATCGGATATTTCCTCGATTCATTAAAATATCAAAAATAAAAAACCTATTTTTAAATAAGGAAGCAAGACTAGATTAATTACTATCCTATATCAACGCTCCTGGTTCTCTCAAAAAAAACTATACACACATACGTGAAACATTATTGGTGTCCGTCTCAAGTCAAATACTCTGACTTTGTCACAAACATGAAGACAAAAATTAATCACAAACATATATAATAGATGTGGGTGCTTTTATTAACCTACAGATAGCATTCGACACAATTAATCAACTCTTACATAAGTCACAGTCCTCTTTTATTTGTCGACAACAGGTTGTCAAATCTGGCGAGTACACTTAAACCAATTACGAATCCGACAGAAATCTCTTTTGATTCTTCCTTTACTGTTCCTGATCCGCTTGACTAATCTACGGGAAGTCTATTAGAAGACACTGACAACACATGCTTGTTATGATATTATTGAAACAATTTCACGGAACTAACACGCCAACGACGTCCGCTACCTAAAAAAAATTATAGGTTACTTGTAATATGAATAGGCCACCCTGTAGACACACATTTATATATTTACCCGTCCTTTGTTGTTAAATGAAGTACTTAAAGCTAGAGACAACAACAATGCGACACAAAATATATCTGAGTTCTACAAAAATGTATTTCCTGCTTTGTGTACGTTTTCGCATTTAATGGACGTGGTTCTTCTAAATGAGATGCTGTAAAGCAAAGTGATTGTTGCTGTAAAAATGTTGAACCGTTGACAAAAGGCAGGCTGTCGAGCTTGTCCTGGCTTTAATGATCAAACCTTGTGAGATAGAATTTTACTTAATGTCAAATATTAATAATAATATCGCGAGTTAAAAATAAAAGCTCAAATACCGTTATTCTGTAACTGACTCTGAGCACCTAAAAGCGAACCGCCTCCAATTCCGATTATTGAAGCGTATTCATCATCATCATCAAACCATTTATACCTCCCATTGCTGGGCGCGGGTCTCCTCTCAGGTGAGAGTATGCCATGTATGAGTATGAAGTTACAGTCAAATGGGACTTGTCAACTTGTCTCAGGGTGACGGACGCAGTGGTAGTGCCCCTCAGATCTTTGCGATTTTGTACCTGGTTCGATTCCCGAACCCGGTGATTTTCCTGTTTTATTTTCCCTATGAGGGTAGAAAATCAAACGAAGAATTCCGATAATTGAATTAATTATAATAAAAATAAATAAATTACAATTTTAAATTTCAATTTTAAAAAAGAAACTGTATATTTGCCGGTGCAGAAGAAGGGCCATAGGACGAGCAGCAATTGGTAGCCGGTCATCGGAAATGCTGCGTCCTAGTCCGGACGTAGTCCAGCTCGTATGAGCCCGAAGGAAGCTCAGCGAAGGTAGCTTTCCAAACCGAAGGTAACTAACTCTAACTCCTGCAACGGACAACCAACTGGTAGTAAGTTCTTTTTGCCTCCCTCTTTGAAAGCCCACTGACGGCAAAAGAGAATTAGGGAAGCACCTACGTAATAGCAATCGCTGGTGGCGCGACCAGAATGGAGTTGCAGTTTAAAATGTGTAAAATAGATAAAAAAAAGAATTTAGGTGAAGACCGAGACGTTTGCTTATTATTAGAAAAGATTAAAAACTAAATAAGCCAAAGAAAACAACGTCTGGTGAAAAAATACAATTGTAACAACACCATCTACAATGCAGCTACCAAGAAGTTTACAACGACGCGCACGCACACTACAATAGGCGACAAGTGTATGTGAATCAGCGCCAACGGTATAAAAAGCGCGCACCGGCAAACTCCGATTCATTCCCTAATTCATTCGCTCGCTTAATGAACGAAGTTCACAAGAGAAATGGCTGGTTCTTATGTAGTTTGGTGGGTTTTTGTATTTCAGTTTTCATATAAATTAATGTGTAGTTTAGGTATTATTACGCAAAATTCGCAGTAATCTATTATCAAAATCTCGATTGATTTGCGGAATTATCGATTGTATCGATTTAGCTAAAATACTTTAAAAAAAAAGAAAAGAATGTTTATTTGTTTATTATGCAGCGCATGCTTGTTAAAAGTTTATTATTATTTTTGTCATTATGGCGCCACCAAAATCCAAAGTGTGGACATATTTTACATCTCCCAAAAAAGTATCGATATGTGTAAGTATCGATACTTTTGAAGTACACATATGATTAGTATCGCATGACGAATTGATTACTACTCATTCGAGTAGGTATCGATGCTTTGGTGGTATAGGAATATCCCTATCTGTCAGAACTCCGCGGGCGCCGCGCCCTCCCCTCTCTGCGTCTCCGACATCATTCGAAAATGCAACGTAAGCTGCCATAGATTTAACAAATTTTGTTTATGGTAAATCATGGTTGTAATGTTTTATAATCAATTATTATTTAAAAATTATTTAAAAATAGTATGTATGATAATCTTTGTGTTAAATTTTTAATAGTGTTAGATTTAAAAAACGGTTTATTCTAAAATGAATTTAACATCGTTGTAACGTTCCGTTACAATTTAAAGCTGTGCGTGCCTCAGCAACTGTTATGGACAATCGTGTACCTCGACTTGTTCGTACCGTCACTTGATGTTATATAATATATATATATATATATATATATATATATATATATAAATATAAATATATGTATCATATACATTTAAACCTAGGCGGTGGGCAATGCGGGCTAGGGACTTCACACGTTTTCAGAATTGTGAATTGTTTTATGTGCAGGGCTAGGAGAAGGAAAAGCTGATGATAAATTTGACAGATAAATTCCGAGGAACTCAGAGGTGCCAGTCCCGCATCGAACCTACGGCCTGTGCTCAAAACTTTAAGTAGGTTAAACCATTAAGCGACTACAGCATTGAAGCGTATTACGTGTGCTTAAATGCCTATTATCTATTGCATTTTTCCTTTCAAGCGTGCTACATAAAGCTATATCTACAACTCTAAATAATTAGTGCTAAGAAAGGTACTGTATTCCCAGCACAAACAGACTAAATCATTCCGGCGATGAACAATAGCAACTCAGGTGTCGAGGGCGAGTTGAGGAACGATAGCGAGAAAGCGGCATTCGGGCAATCTCATTTCTAAAAAGTAAGTTTACTTTTATGTTGTCTATTTCCGGAGTTCCGGAGGCTGGAATGGTGTCCGAGGGAAATCGTCTCACGCACTTCATGGCACGCACCGTGACGGAGGTCGCGACGTTCGGCTTCAGGCTGCACTATGAATACTAACTACTCTGCTCCTCATGCAAGTTACTTATACTTCCTATTAAGTAATGTATAAAAGGAAAAAAGAAGAGTTGCGATCCAGCTAATCGTATTTAGTTACTAAGCGACGCAGCGTAAAACGGTAATTTTCATATTAATTTTCGCTACCTAATTTCGCTGACAAATTGTGTTATTTAAGTTTCGTGTTTATT